CTAGTAGGATACCCGATCCTGTTTATACTAAAGAAGAACGGCAAACTACGATTATATATTAATTATCGATAACTTAACGATATAACTATTAAGAACCACTACCTATTACCTCTTATCTTAGAAATACGAGATTAGCTAGTTAGAGCGTAATAGTTCACGGTACTCGACTTAAAAGGAGCCTATAACTTAATTAGGATTAAGGAAGGAGAAGAGTAGAAGATAGCGTTTCGGATAAAGCGAGGATATTTCGAGTACCTCGTTATGCCTTTTAGACTAATAAATACGCCGGTATCGTTCTAAACACTTATTAACGACGTCCTAAGGAAGTATTTAGACCACTTCGTTATAGTATACCTGGATAATATCCTAATCTTCTCCAAAATACTCGAAGAATACCGGTAACACGTTTTTATAATCCTATAACTCCTATAAGACGCCGACCTATTAGTCGAACCAGAGAAAGTTTAATTCCACACGTAAGAAGTTAACTTTTTAGGTTATACGATACGACCTAACGAGATCTGTATAGATAAGGCGAAAGTCTAATACGTCTCTAAGTAGCCACGGCCTTAGAATATTCGCGATATTTAGTCCTTTCTCGGACTTATGAATTACTATCGACGATTTATTAAGGACTATAGTAAGATTATTATCCCCTTAACTAAAGTAACTAAAAAGGGACTTAACTTCGAATAGAACAAAAGAATAGAAGAAGTATTCTAAGCTCTTAAAGGAAGGGTTACTAGCGAACCTATCTTAGTAATGCTAGACCCTGAAAAAGAATACGAACTCGAAATAGACGTATCCGACTAGGCTCTGGGAGTATAACTCGGATAGCGCGACGTAGAAGGAAGACTACACCCTGTAGCCTTTATATCTAAGAAACTCAGTAGACCAGAACTTAACTATTAGATCTATAATAAAGAGCTAATAGCTATTATCGAAGCCTTTAAAGAATAGAGACCGTACCTGTTAGGAATAAGATACCCGGTATAAGTCTACACGGATTATAAGAACCTCGCGTAATTTACTACTACTAAGGTTCTTAATAAACGATAAATCCGATAGGCAGAATTCCTAGCCGAATTTAATTTCTATATTTAGTATATAAAAGGGAGCGAAAACAGTCGCGCAGACGCACTTAGCCGACTAGGGATACCTAACGAATCACCTAAACCGTAAGCTATACTCTAATAGGAAGGAGAAGCTCTTACTCTAAAGAACAGAGAAGTAAATAGCATTAATCGGATAACCGATATTATATTCGAAGAAGCATACGCCTCGCCGATACATAGATATCAAGGAGTTTATAAAATATACCACCGATTACGATAATAATACGATTACACAGGAACTAAAGAACGAGTTAGGGACTTCGTTCGTAACTATAATATTTACCAGAAAGCAAAGAGTAGCCGATATAAACCTTACGGACTACTAAAGCCACTACTAGTAGCAGACGGACTATAGAAATCGATTATAATAGACTTCGTAATAGGATTTCCAGTATCCAAAGATCCAGTAACAGGAATCGCCTACGATAGCATATTCGTGATTATCGACCGATTCACGAAATACACTCTTTATATTCTATATATTAAAAACACTATAGCAGAAGAACTAGTAAGTATCTTTATCGACCGCCTGATTAGGGATCACGGCATACCGAACGAAATTATCACGGATAGAGATAAACTCTTTACCAGTAACTTCTGGAAAGCAGTTATAAGCCAGCTAGGAACGAAATATAAGTATTCGACAGCGTTTCACCCTATAACGGACGGATAAACCGAAATCATAAACTAAGTCCTAGAATAGTACCTACGATACTACGTAGGGTACGAATAAGATAATTAGGTATAATACCTGCTACTTACATAGTTTATATATAATAGCTTGTTGAACGAGTTAATAAAGAAAACACCATTCGAAGCAAATTACGGATATACACCGATAGTATTTAGAAAACCTTTAGAAGGACTAGACGCACTAAGAGCGATAAAAATAGTTAAAAGCATAAAAAAACTACACGAAGAACTACGAACCGACCTGGAGATAGTCAGAACACAAATAAGCAGGTACGCGAATTAATTAAGGATTAAGGGACTAACCCTTTTAAGGGGGGACCACGTTTATCTTATCCGCAAAAACATCAGAACATAACGACTAAGCGATAAATTAGATTTTAAAAAATTAGGACTATTTAAAATCCTAGAGAAAAAGTCAGATACGAACTATATTCTATCACTACCTCCGATAATAAGGATATATAATAATTTCTATATTTTACTACTTGAACTAGCACCGAAAAACGTAAAAATAATATAAGACACGATCGTGGTCGATACTAACGACGTGTATAAAGCAAAACGAATCCTCGACTACCGAGAGACGCTAGATAGTACCGAATATTTTATAAAATAGAAAAACTACGATCACGGCGATAATATATAGGAACTAAAAGATAACCTGATTAATTATAAGTAACTCCTAAAGTAGTACCGATAAAACACTATTAGGACCTAGAACTAGACACCGCGGTCTGTATAAAATTAATATCCGAGAATTCACCTATATCCTACGCTATTACCTGATTCTAATTAATTATATTAATAGCACCGGCAGCTTATATAGTGACTACCGCCTCTGACTCGGCCCGACAGGCCTCTTTTTCCTCCTTCTCCACCTTCTCGAGCTCCTCTATATCGGCAAGGTCCTTACGAACTATTTCCACCCCCTTCTTCCGTAGCAGGCGACGAGTTCGGCGAAGGCGGGATAAGCGGGCGAGCGCCTCGTGGAGTATCTCCTCGGTCCGTTCCTCCTCTTATTCGAGGCGCTTTAGCTCTTTATTTATACGACCCGCTGGGAAGACGAGGGGGTAAGTAAACGGAGGCTGAGCGGGAAGGCGAGGGCAGGAGCGTACTAGAAGATATAGGGATTCTAGCACTGTTATAAGAACGACCTAAGCGAAAACACGCGTGATAGCGAGCGATATCGTCTAGAACGAAGCACGGTACGTTCTTAGAGGCATAACGGGTGCACGGGACGACCTCGTAGCCTTAATTAGCGATAAGGGCAGAAACGGTCGATTAGTTTTCGGCGGAACGAGATTTAGGATAAGACGACTTCTATATACGGTCGGATATAATAGTTAGTAATAAAAAAGAAGAAAAACCTAAGGAACACTAACTAGGGAAAAGCGACCTACTTATACGACCGCTAGGATAGCGCTTAAAAGGAGGGAGGTAATATTACGGCCGGCCGCCTAATATAGACTAACCCTATAGGTATACTAGTATATATCCCACGGGACGGCCCTAGACGGGGGGCAGTATAGGGTGACTTGGGGAGTCACGTGCTAAGTCACGTGTTACTAGGTACGGAGGTACTTAGTATACCGTCCGGGACGGACCGGGGTCGATTACTCCGACGAAGTGACTAATAAGTGATCGGTCACGATAGAATCACCCGGGCATAGCGACCACGTAAGGAATAGTTATTACGGGTAAGGAGGCACTATTACTATATAAACCAGAATATCCTAGGTCTTACTTCTACTAGAGAACAAGATATCGATTAATCTAAGTCTTCACCTAGACTATTAGTCTACGCCTGACTCTACCTTATAAAGAAGACGCCTAGTCTTTACGACGTAACTACGACTAGACACTATGAACGACAGTTACTGCTCTTTAGTTAACATCCTCTTCTTATTTTGAACTAAAACCTCGACGCCAGTCCCCTATCGTCCGCTATACTATAGAGGACCGGAAGCCGTCGTAATAGTATTATCAGTATAGGACTAAGGCTTCCTTACGGAGGTCTATAGGTATCGGTCCTATATACGTGTATAGGAGAATAATCCAGGCCCGCGGGTTATTTACGGTATTATCCTATAGCTAGGCGAGGAGGTTATGTAACGTAGTGTATACGGTCCCTTCGATATAGGAGCGTACCTTATTAAACTCCTTATACTACGCGTTATAGTCTACCTTTTCCTCGCGGTATATACGGCGATCTTATAGGTAGCGCGTGCGCCCCTTTTTAGAGAGGTTATCGATAAACGTGGGCGTCCTAGTCGGTGGTTCTTTCGTTACGGCCGTAACCTTCCGGCGAGCGGCCGTCTTCCTCTTACCGGTAGCCGTAACAGCGGCCGTGGTAGCCGTGGATTCTATAGTATCCGTGGCCTTATCGCCCTTTAGCGTGATAGTGGAAGACGGAGTAGCCGTAATAGTAGTAGCCGTGGCCTCCTCCGCGTTAGGGTCCACGGCGAGGGCTTCGTATTTACGAATATTAGGGGGTATAGATATAGGGAGGAGATAGGCGTTAGCCTCCTTATCGCTTAGCTTTAGATTAAGGTAGTTATCCTAGTAGGAGGCCGATTTACCGCGTACGGCGCGCTCCTAAACTACCTAATCCCTCTAGTTAATAAGGGTTATAGCGGCCGCCTTCTATTCGGCGTTAGATATATTAGAAGATATCTTTACTAGATTGTTATTTATCGGTTAGTTAATTAATAGGTAGGTTAATTAATCTCTTAATTGCTTTGATTAGGTCGATAGTAGTTATTTAAGAGTGCTTATATAGACGTGATTGCTTCTTTATAGTGGAATAGGGGTAGCCTTATTAATATCTATCGTTTAGGCGTTATAAACCGGGCTTATAACTATCGCACGTTAAATAGACACTTAAATACTTAACTTAGTAGAGCAGAAATCTCGTGTGTGTGTATTATATTAAGTTATATCTAGGAGAGTCTTTTATGCCCTTAATTTAGGTGGTGCAGACTCCGTTATGGGTACTATATTATTTGGATCCTATCCGGTCTTTTCCGGTATCCACCCTTATTATATCCTGATGCCCGAAGTCCCTGATATCCGGAGCCCTTAGTTATGGAGTGGATCCCCCCTGGATCCCCTATAGACTATATCGTGGTCCTGCCCATGCGATAAGTTGAGACAGGGTACCTAAGAGACCCAGATATGCACTAAGCATTATGGTGAATTTTAGGTTGTTTCCTCCCCGGGCAACGTCAAGTGCCCGCCAGGTTATCGGTTCTGTTTACCCCCACACAAACCAAACTACCTACCTTACCTTACCTACCACCTTACAGAGGTACCATTCTACACACTCGGTATTCGTAGAATATCAACCATTCTCTCTCCTACTCCTCCACCGCATTCTTCGTCTTAAATATTTGAAAACCAGCGCTGTAACGACAATATATTCACTCAAAAATCCCGGCCATCGTATACGACCGCCCCGATCCTCCCACGACCGTTGGCAGACCCGTCCCGTTGCCCCTGAAGCCGATCAATAACATCCAGGACGTGCTGCACCCCCCCCCCCCCCTCACCAGCTGCATACACCCGATCGAGCTGCTTTCGTCTTAGGCCGGCGCTGCCCAGAGCAAACCCTCTTTTTCTTATTGTAGATATCACGTCTCTGAGACCACCGCATGACCACGACCTGGCGAGCATGGCGTTTGCGGAACCGCAGCAATGGATCAATGTCCAGCAAAAGACCTTCACAAAATGGCATGTTTCCCCGGTTCCAGCGATGCCCAATCTCCCCCACCCCCTCCGGAGACAATTTGATGCCGCGGGTATGCTGACCCGCCTCATCTCTAGGCTCAATACAAAGCTGGAAGCCCGGAGCCTTGAGGTCAAAGACCTCGTGGCAGACCTTAGCGACGGCGTACGTTATCATTGCTCTGTCATATGCGAAACCCCTATAAATATTATGCACATTCGGACTGAAGAACAGCCCCTCAGGTCATGCTTATTCACTTGCTAGAGTGCTTGTCCAACGAGTCCCTGGGGCGATACGCCTCGAAACCCAAATTGCGCGTTCAACGCTTCGAAAATGCGAACCTAGCACTCGACTTCATCAAGTCCAGAGGAATCCAGATGACCAATATCGGTGCCGAAGATGTCGTGGATGGTAACCGGAAAATCATATTGGGCCTGATCTGGACGCTCATTTTACGCTTCACCATTAGCGATATCAACGAGGAGGGTATGACAGCAAAGGAGGGCCTCCTGCTCTGGTGCCAGCGCAAGACGGCATGCTACGACGAGGTTGACGTGCGGGACTTCAGCGCCAGCTGGAACGACGGTCTCGCCTTTTGTGCGCTGTTGGACATCCATAGGCCCGACCTGATCGACTACGACGCCCTGGACAAGTCGGACCACCGAGGCAACATGCAGATGGCTTTCGACATCGCACACAGGGAGATTGGCATCCCGATGCTCTTGGACGTTGAGGACGTTTGCGATGTCGCGAAACCAGACGAGAGGTCGCTGATGACCTACATTGCCTACTGGTTCCACGCCTTTTCCCAGATGGAGAAGGTGGAGAACGCCGGCCGGCGGGTGGAGAAGTTCTTCAACAACATGTCGGGCGCCTGGGAGATGCAAAGCGCATACGAGAGACGAATGGACGCGCTATTGAAGCAGATTCGGGAACAGAACATCCAGTGGCAGCAGGCGAAGTTTGAGGGAACTTATGCTGACGCCAAAGCGCAAGCCAACGAGTTTGCCTCCTTCAAGCGAGGCCAGAAGAGGGATTGGGTGGGCGAGAAGAGCGAGTTGGCCACCCTGCTCGGCAATATCAAGACGAAACTGGGAACATATCGCTTGCGACCATACGAACCTCCGGCGGAGCTGTCTCTTGAGACAATGGAGAGGGAATGGGGTAATCTGTCTAGGACCGAGATGACGAGGGCACAGCTTATTAACGAAACCATCCGAGAGCAAGTACCCCCCCCCCCCCCCAACCGCGGGCCCATCACCGTCATATTTCGCCCCGATTCTCTTTTCTTTTCCTGGCTTCTTCTGACTTTTTGACGCAGTATCAAAAATGCCCTCCGAAAGTCTTTTGCGGACAAGGCAAATGACTTCGCCATGGCCTTGAACACGATGCAGCTCGCAATCTCCGGCTTGGACGGCGATGTGGAGGACCAGCTGCACCATGTCCGTAAATTGAGCGATAACCTCTCCCCGTTGGACAAGTATCTGGAGTCTATTGCGGCCGTCGACGCGAAATGCCAGGAGGCGAACATCGAAGAGAACGACTTCACCACCTACACCTATGATGAGCTCTGCTACGAACTCGGTCTGGTCAAGTCGTCGGTCCAAAAGAAACTTTCTTTCCTCGAGAACCAGATGGTGGCCCGGAACATGACCAACCTGACACCCATCCAACTCGAAGAGTTCGAGTCTGTGTTCCGTCATTTTGACCGGGACGATTCGAACACACTGCAAGAACTCGAGTTCTCCGCTGCACTGGCGTCCCTGGGACTCGTCTTCTCGGAAGACGAGATGCACGACTATTTCCTCGAAGCATCGCACGGGCGAGACCGCGTCACCTTCGAGCAGTTTATCCGCTTCATGGTGGATGTCACCGAAGATCAGAACACCGCGGAGCAGGTCTTCCAGTCGTTCCGCGAGGTGGCCGACGGGAAGCCATACGTCACCGAGATGGATCTGAGGCATTCCCTAGTGCCGGATGAAGTGATCGACAAACTTGTCAACATCATCCCGCCACACACAGGGCCCGATATGGCCGGGGACAGGGGATTGCCTCAGTACGACTACATTGCCTTCATGGAGAAGCTCATCAGCGACCCTAGTGGCGGAGGCGATGCCGATGCGTCATTAAGGGCGCAGCCGGAATCGTTCAAGAAAAGAAGCAGTGGTACGCCCAAGGAGAACGTTAACGGCTTTCACTAGGCCCTACTGTGATCTTTCTTGCCGTCACCTTTGCTCCCTCCATTTATCGGGTTCCAGTTCTTAGTGTCGTTTCTTTTTGTTTCCTTGGCCTGGGCAAGTCTGGAAAATACCAACACCTGATCGGTGATTTATCATTTTGGCAAGCATCATCGGTGTTTTAACGGCCTGCAGGGGAGTACCTGGAGGGAAAAGTGATACAGTCGATGGCGGCAGCGATGGGCTGACCGTTGTCTATAAATGCATAGCTTAATATAGTAACGTAAAAAGAACCGAGTTGCCTCCGAGTCTCACCTCTGAACACCATGGGCCCATCAAGAGAAAGGATAATACGATGACTATTTCGAAATAACTAGTCTGCTGATGTTGTCAATCCCGATCGTCTACGCATGCATGCATCTACCGACTGACTGATTGACAACCCAGTCTCACTAGGCTTGCCGTCAGATAGGCGGGCTGATTTGGTTTCGCTATCCCTATCCCATAGCACATCTCTTTTCCTGTCCTAGCAGTTTGTCTGAAATGGCAGAGTATTTCCCCAGTATCGTCTATTCGAGAAGTGCACGCCGCCGCCGCCGCCGCCGTCTTGTAGTAATCCAACACCATACCCCGATCCTGAGCTGCCCATATACAGTAAAATAAATAAATAACAATAATGATGAAAAACAAGCATGTAAGGTAGCACAATGCGCTGAGAAGAGGACACAACCCAGAGAAATAAAATGACCAAAACGAACGCCCGCCAGTTCAGTGTTTTACAGAGAGGCTTCAAACGCGCCCCTCTCCTTGAGTGCGTTTGATAATCTCCGATAATCGCGGAGCAGTTCAAGAACTTCACTAAGCTTCAGGTCGCCGGGGTTCTGCAGCTCCACAAACCTCTGGTTTGGCGGCTTGATCCTGGGAATCTCCTTCGGCGGGAGCGCTGGTGCGATGTCGGGGAATGCCTGTGCTTATGTTAGTTGACCTGGAATATCCTCAGACGGGAGTGGGCATGTGACACATACGGCTCCCAGATCGCCTCCTTCCACTGACTTGGCCGAGTCATCTTTCGAGGGTGCCGCGTGAGGCGTTGCCGCACGCCCAAACCCTCGCATAACCGCCATGCTGGAGAGCTTTGCCATGGGATTGAAAGAATTCCCAAAGCTACGAACAGCGTTCTCGAGTGGGTTTGTGGGGTTAGCTGACGAGGAGACGACGGAGACTGGCTTCTCCTTCGAGTTCTCAATGCTCATCTTTTTCCGGAGGCCATTGGCGCTGTGTTCCCGCACAGGGGCCTTCTTGCCGCTCATGACGCCGAACAATGCATCCTCTGTCTGAGTCGATTGCTGGAATCCATCGAGGTCCTTCGTGCTCTGGAAAGAACCGGTGCGGCCGACTTGCCCCTCTTCGTCGAGCGGCGGTGTACTAACCAGCTTCCGCGCGTCGTCCAGCGTCTTCGGAACGACAAGCGCGTGGCCCGTAACAGTTGGCGCCCCTTGAGTTTCTCGGAGTTTGCCCAACAGAAATTTATAGCTATCCCCGAGGCTGTTGGTGATATTCTTCAAGCCCTGATCGGCAGTGGTAAAGACAGCATCGCTGGCAACGCCGAAAGCCTGTGCAGGGGTGTTCACTAGCTCGCTGAGCCGTCTGTTTCGCGCTTGCATTGCTGCCCTCAGACTGGATGCCGCCGAAGAAGGGGGCGGCGATCTGCTCGTTGTCGCGCTGCCACTACTGGTCGCGACGGTGCCGTCGGTAGATTGAGTTACCGAAGAAGGAAAAGCGGGCGGGAATGTATCCGTCTTCGGAGACCCCGGAACACCTTCCTTGGGCCGGCCTTGGGGCAGTTCATCGGCACGAAGAGTCGAGAGGTCCACAGTCTCGAGAAAGCTGATGGCGGCCTCGAGATTCGTTAGACAGTATGCCGCTTCCCCGGTTAACTTGGGCTCCCACCTGAAGCGCTGGATGAACCGCACATCGCTGATAACGTGCAAGCTCTCTGGTGGGAGGGTGATGAGGGTGTAGATCAGCATGGGCATGATTTCGTCGGCTGAGGCGGAGGGGTGGAAGTGAGCCAGAGTGTCCACAATGCTCCTGTGTGCGGCCTTGAGTTGGTTGAGTTTACCCAACGGATACCGCTTTTCATTCATCAAGATTAAGTTGTTCCTGGCCTGATTTAGCCATTGTCGAATCTCCTCGCCTTTTTGCGAAGCTGCCGCAGGGCCCTCGGGGACATCTTCGCCCAAATCAATTCCAAGGTCGGCGGGCCCAATTCCGACTACAGCTAGAGCGGCCGTCTTCGACCTGAGCTTGTCATCCTGCGCCTCGTCGTGGGTGCTGCGGTGTCGATATATGCGGTTATACAGACCCTCACATAGCCTCCTTTCAACGGCTTCCTCGAGCATGACCCTCTTGGCTTCCAAAGCCTTCCTAGCCCTTTTCTTGTCTGCCAGCTCATCTACTGTCATAAGTTGCTGCTCCGCTTCCGAGATGGCATGATTTTGGGTCTTCTCCTTGCCTCCGAGGGCTGCAGCCTTGACCCGTAGCCTGTTCGCTGGTGATGGCCTGGACGAAGCAGCCGGGGACGTGGCTCGGCTCCTTCGCGACGCTATGGCGGAGATGTGAGTGGATACATGATTCGACGCGACCTGGTAGAAGTCCTGGAAGAGCTGCGCGACCTTATCGATCGTCGGGGGCGTTTTGTGGACCTTGGAGGTAAGGGACTCGACGAAGCTACCGGAGGGGAGCTTTGGTCAGCTTCCTGCGAACTGAGGAGGGGGACACGCGGCATGCCTCACCTATCGGTCAGGCTAACAAGCTCAATGGGTAGATCATCAAGGTCGACGGATCCCCTGCCCGGTTCAAGCCCATCACCACCATCTCCGTCGTTTTCTTGACTGGTTTCGAATGCATCGGGCGCGTTCTCCGGTGTAGTGGCTGTGACCAGGGGTTCTGCGGCTGCGCTGTCATGAAGTCCACCGTGTCGCTTCGAATAATTCGGAGGGGCAGCATTGATATGTTGGCCGGTTGCGGGTTCGGCGCCGGTAGGACTTGGCTGCGGTGGTTCACTAGAGGGAATGCTGGTAGCCGCCATCGGGAGGGTTATGGTGCTGGTGCTGGTGCTGGTGCTGGTGCTGGTGGTTGAAATCAGCTCAAGGGAGTGTGCGGCGGGGAGTCGAGCCGGTTTTGGGACACGGAAGTGCTGCGGCAACCGAAAGCTGGGCAGTTGCTGCTGCAAGGCTCGTGGACATGGAACGAAAGCTAGAAGTGGTAGTACGCCTCAAGCGTTTGAGATGTGACGAGATGAATGTCCAACCATTTGGATGAACTAGGCGACAATATTTGGTGTTACAGAACGAAGACGAAATGGAATTCTGACGGCTTGGATGGAACGTCTGATACACGTGGTTCAACGAGCTGTACGGAGTACTGTGAACCTTGGGGGAACTTAGTGTTTGGAATTTGGTATCAGCTTGCAATTAAGACCCTTAACATGTAATTACCTTATTAGAGTACCTACCTTAGGTATGGACGGATGCCTAGGGTAATTACTTGTTGACGCGAGTACGGAGTACTCATCATGTAATACATAACTCCGATTACGGAAGACACCAAGGTTCATAACTGACTGTACACGCACCGTGCATAGGTACCTACCTAGAGAAAGGCAGATAGGATGCGATGAAATACAGGCCCTGTCGGAACTTCATGCTACTTCTACAGAGTACCTAATCAGAGATGGAATCTTATACGAAAGATGGCCACTGGACAGAACAGTGTAAGCACGGCGATGTGCCGCAACAACGGAGAACGGAGTATTACTTCGCTCAGAATATGTACGCTTATGATACGTGCCGTACAGTGTTATCTATCATGTCAAGTGGATACCGATAGATCCCCGCACGTGTCTCCGTCGATCATGTGAGACCCCCGGGTGCGTGACTTGGCGACGTCAACGAACCTCCCTACAACGGAGTTTGTTAGGCAGGCAGAGTGGCCTGCATCATGATGGTAGCTACTTACTTCCTTTCTGCACAACGCCATACCAAGTTCCTGTCTCACCTTCTGTCACCATTGATTGCTATTTGGCTCTCCCTCTAATGGCTTGTTGACTTTATTGAAATTTGCGTCGTTCGATCTAAAATCATATCACCAAGGGAACTTCCACCGTTTCGGATCCGTGCCCCTTTCTCCTTGTTGCCGCTTCGATACCCATGCACTTCGACTGGAGAAGACGGGAGCTGTTCTGGCTCCTGGTCGGGGTGGCGCCGCTTCTCTCCGATGCTCTGAGTCCTGAAGATGCTGTGATTCTTCCAGGACCCGTACTCCCATCACCACTCCATCCGCCACCGTCTGTACCAGCAGAGCACACCTTCAAGCTCCGACACATCTACCATCACGGAACGTATCGATACCCTCGACTCCATCGGAAACAAGACGTCGGCATTCGATCTGAGCCACGAGTCTGGCTGGCAGCAGAGGATGAATACGAAAAAGAAGAGCTAGGACCTTTGAGAGCACGAAGTGTACCCCTCAACATAGAGAGGTTGGTAGACCGCCGGCCATCGACCGTCGACCCCATGGTTGCCGCTGCCCGTGAGCGTGGATATGTCACAACACTCTCCCCAACAGCCTGGACTATTGATGAAACGTCAGGTCCGGATACGTCCGACAAGAACACAGTCTTGAGCCTCGCCCTCATGGCTGCGAACGCTTACGTGGAGAACGAGGATGAGGCAGATTGGGAGGATGTCGGGGATCCCTTTCACAAAGACTTGGACTTTGGGTGGGAGGATGACGGACTGCGTGGCCACGTATTCGCCGACGAGACCAACTCGACCATCGTGATAGGGCTCAAGGGCACCAGCATGGCCGTTTTCGACGGAGAAGGGACTACGACAAACGACAAGGTCAACGACAATTTGTTTTTCAGCTGCTGCTGCGCGCAGCAGGGACAGTGGACGTGGCATCAAGTTTGCGACTGTGCCACTTCGACCTATACTTGCAACAACACCTGCGTCGTCGAGGCTCTCCGAGAAGAGCACCGGTACTACGCAGCCGCCCGGGAGCTGTACTCGAACGTTACCGAGCTGTACCCTCATTCCAACGTCTGGCTCGTTGGGCACTCTCTTGGCGGGGCTGTCAGTTCTCTCATGGGCTTGACCTATGGCCTACCCGTCGTCACTTTTGAAGCAGTTCCAGAAGCGCTGGCGGCCGGGCGGCTAGGCCTGCCAGTTCCGCCAGGCGCTCGGCAAGACCTGCCCCAGGCGCGCAAGAATACTGGGGCTTTCCACTTTGGCCACACCGCAGACCCGGTCTACATAGGAACCTGCCATGGGGCAACGGCCTCGTGTTCCTTTGCTGGCTACGCGCTGGAATCGGCCTGCCATACGGGACAGGAATGCGTGTACGACGTGGTTGCCGACAAAGGGTGGAGAGTGGGCATCGGGACGCACCGTATCAGGTCCGTTATAAACGATGTCATCTTGCAGTACGACGAAGTGCCCAAGTGCGCCTCGACGCCCGAATGCCGCGATTGCGCCAAATGGAAGATGTACGAGAGCAACGGGACCGAAACTACTACGACATCTCTGCCCTCGACGACATCCACAACACGAACGCGGACAGAGACTTGCAAGACACCTGGCTGGTGGGGATGCCTGGATGAGACGACGACAGGTATCGCGTCAACGACTAGTGTAACTTCGACTTCGACTTCCACATGCGAGACTCCGGGATGGTTCGGCTGCAAGGACAAGACGGCATCAATGACAACGACAACGACAACCGATGCCACTACGACGTCTGAGACAACGACTACTTGTCTTATACCAGGGCGGTTCTGGGGATGTTACGACGACCCAACTTCGGCGACTTCCCACGCGAGCCCTTCCATTACCGAAGCACCGACCATAACAGCACCAAGTTCATCCCCCATCTCCAAAGCCCCCCCATTGGAGCCAACCTGCCGGCAGAGGAGCTGGTTTGGGTGGTGCCGGGAGTGGGATATGGCAGTAATTGAGTGGGAACCCGAGGAAATATAAAGGGCATTTTGAAATGGCTGTAGCTTCTTCCGAGCATTTGAGGATTAGCATTGGACGTAGGGCGTTATGGAACTCGGGGATTGGCGTTGGGTTTATTTAGAGCTAAGAGGTATTATTCCTACGGCATCAGCTTTGACCGCCAGTTACAAGACCATGGCCTGTTCAAAGCAATCAAATTTGACATGCATTCGTGCTATGTCCCTTGTCCTAGGTCTGCTCGGATTCGAAGACGATGTGTTCGACACGATTATAAACTAGTTCGGACTTTTCTACGCATTAACGTATAGGCATAATACTTGTTTGTCTTTTAGACGCGTTAACAAGGCCATTGTATGATAAGATATAAACGCATATTTACGGTAGTTAAAATAAAATAAAAACTACCTAAGGTTATACGTAGTTTTTTAGAGAATAGCTAAAAGCCATTTAAAATAAATTTAAATACATACTAAAGTAATAACTACAATATACTATTGCGGTGGTGGTCTGTGCACACGGCCAACTAATCAGGTTACCGTATCTAGGTAGCTAAACCTCCTTAAGGCTTTAGCCGAGCAATCTAGATAGCTTCCTTTATACACACTTAATATACGCTTTTATATCACACTTTTTATAGGTTATAAGCCGCTACTTCCGTCATTAAGAAAAAAACAGGTTAAAAACCTAATAGGATCTCTAATCCTTAATCTTCTATCCCTTTTCCCGGGTTACATACCACCTATGGATCCCTTTCTAGGATTAGAGTATAATTTTCACTAAAAGCGTGTTAGTTAATTTAACAACGCGTTAATAAGATAGCTCGTATCGCAGGTTAAATACACTCTTCTAACTTGGGAGAAATCTTCGCGTGTGTGTATTATGTTAACTTATAACGTGTGCGAGACCGATTGCCCTATTTTTATAAGGGGTAGTACTCCTCCGGAAGTACTGCTCTATTTAGATCCTATCTGGTATTTTACCGTGGGTCCACCCTTATTATTTCCACCCCCGAGGCCTATACTTACCCCCGAGGCTTATGCCTATCCCCGAGGCTTATACTGATACGATACACCCCCTTAGTTAGGGCAGATCCACTTTTCCAGGCCGATTAGCTAATTAGAGGCCTCGGTTTAAACTGAATAGCTCTTAATCCTTTTTATCGTGAAAATAGTCCTCGAAAAGGCTCTTAAAAACGCTCTTAACCCGATCCTCTTAATCGTTTAATTCGTTCCCTGTAATCTTAATCCCCGGCTTCTAATTAGTCCGATTAGGTTAATCGCCGCCCGTTTAATCCTATCGCGGAGACGCTCTGGAAGAGCTCCTATAATAATAACACGTTTAAATCCACCCCCTATAGGCGTAGCTATTAGTTATATCTCCCGCGGGCGTAGCCTTTAATAGATATCTTTTAGTAGTATCTCCGTAGTAATAGCGGTGCCGAGGGTATCTCTACAGTAATAGCGGTGCCGATAGTATCTCTATAGTAATAGTAGTGCTAATAGTTCCGCAGCTATAGCGGTGGTTCTATTCAATAGGTAGTCGTAAAGAGTAAAAAGGTAGGGTTAAGTAAGAAACCAGGTATAATTATAACAGGATTATAGTGGGATTAGAACGTGGGTATAGCTAAAGAATTAGATTAATCGCTAGCTATCGGAATACATAGTGCTTATACGTTGCTATAGGACTAGCACTAGACTTATATATAGATAGGGGGATCGTAGTCAGGTTAGACTATTAGAGATACGACGCGTTAAGGTTTAGTAAGCTGGTTAGCTTAGAAGCTAGCTTAGATCTAGTAAGCTGGTTAGCTTAGGAACTAGCTTACACCTAAACTTAGTCCTAAGGAGGCCTCTCGCTACCCACTTAGTTAGAAGACCTTAGGTAGGTATAAAGAGGGGAGTGCCTTCTATAGTTCCTAGAGTCTTAAAGGGACTTAACGAATAATCTTATCACGATACCCCCTTTTTAGTTCCTACTAGTCCCTAAGTAGTCCTGTGTTATTTAGCAGTTACCTATTACTCCTTATAGTATACTTATAATATTTTATTTATTCTTCCGTTCTACACGGGTATAACGACTAATAGGAATTATAACGACTAATCCGACCCACGTAATACTAAAAACCAGTTATTAGCAGAACCCTAGGAGGCTATTATACCTTAACGCGCTAATCCGTTAATTCCCCCTCCTATAGGACCTATAGATAATAACGACAAAGGATCCTCTTCCCTTTCGCCCCCTCCTCCCTCCGATAATACCCCTAATCCTAATACTCCTAATACTAAAGGATAAGGGGATAACTATATAACGCGACGTGATTACTTAGACCTTTAGAATCTCCCTATAATAGACCTCTAAGATACTAAACTTATAGCGGAGACCCGTTATCTCGAACTACGCCTTAAAAGGAAAAAGAAAGAACGCCGGCTCGAATTTCTACGTAGCGGTATTAACCCCGATACTATTACCCTTATAACCTCCTAAAAGCCCTCCCGGTCTTTTTTAGGTATACTAATATAGGGTAATAAGGTAATTAAAATTAATATAAACGTCCGTAAGTAGGATAGAGTATCCTATAATAGATATCTTATTTTCGTCGAGGATATCGAGTCCCGGATCGCTATAAACCCTAACCACTTTCGTACTAAAGTATCTAAAATCTTCTACGCCTTTAATAGTCTTTTATAGACTACTAAGTCATTATAGCGTTAATACTAGAGGACTACCTTCGGATATATAAATTATAAAGGAGGAGCTATTTAGGAAGATATAGAGAAGTTCCTCGCTAATCTACTAGTTAACGATAATACCCGGGAGATATCTATCACGGAATAACTATTGTCCGACCGTAAACGGCAGAAACTAGACTAGTCCTACGATAGATTCCTAGACTTTATAAATAGACTTTTCACGGAAATTCCTATTATTCTTAACGATACAATTCGTATATAGTTAATTCTTAATAAGTTATAAAAGCCCTTTAAAGACCGGATCCGTGCTAAAGGGTTACCGAAGTTAGTTAAAGAGCTCTATATAGCCGCTCGCTAGGCCTAGGTTACCCTAATCCAGGATACTAAGGATAATAACTAGCCTTATTCTTCCCTATTAGCTTATTAATAGGCTAAGTATAACGATAAGCGGAAAAGATAGTTAAGCCCTTTACGTGGTTATAACCAGAATAACACTAAGGGCAGTAAAGGATAGGATAAGGATATATCGGATTAACCCTAGAAGAACCCCCGTATTAGGCTATTACCCCCTATTAAGGAAATCGAGTCTTTTTATTATCACGAAAAAGGCTATTATCGCTTATCGTGCCTAAAGGACCCTAGGAAGACGAATTAGAACGCTAATAGGCCTTAGAATAATATCTAGAATAAGTTACCTAATACTAATTCCGTACTAGTGGATCCTAAGAGAAATACTATAATAGGTTAAGTATAGGTTATACCTTCTCAGAAACCCTTATAATAGGAACGCGCGCTATCTATATTAGTACCTCTTTCCTATAGTCCCCTAAAGGTATAACTTAGTTTACAATAAGGCGGTATATAATAAGATAGCGAATAAACCTCCTACTATACTTATATAGACTTAGGTTCGGACTTAGACGTTATTAACCGCGTTAGCCTCCTACCCGCTTACGAACCCTTAGGACCTACTAAGGATATCTCGTGGTTAGTACTAGGTTAGTAGGTAAAGACCTACGGTATTATAAAATTAATCTACTAGATTATAGATAGTTAGGGCAGGACCTAAGCCGAAACTATTATATTTCACGTCATAGATTTAGATCCTAATAGCGCCTAGAGTATCCTTAGTCTCCTATAGCTTTAATCCCATAGTCCTAGTATCTACTAGAAGGATAAGAGGGGGACTTTTCGTCTTTAGAAGTCCGAATTAGCTTTTATCACTATAACCCGCTAGCTACGTAAGGCTATTAACCGCGCTACTACGGTAATCCCTTTAATAGTATAGACTACCACGGCCGTCTATCCTACGCGTTTAGGCTAGATTATAAAGATTATAACTACTACCCAGAACCCTCCTTAAGACTACTAGGAGTATATCTAGAACCCCCCTAGCCCCCCTAATAAGGATACCCTCCCTAAACTATACTAAGACTTTACTAATATTTTTAATATAGTTAAAGCCGGTCGCCTCCTACTATACTATAAGTAGGACCACGTAATTAAACTTAATAAGGGTAAATCGCCCCCCTTTAGTCCTATCTACGCCTTAGCCGAGGAGGAACTTATAGTCTTAAGGGAGTATATTAAAGATACTTCGGCGAAATAATAGATCCGGCCTTTATCTAGTCTAATAAGCGCCCTTATCCTTTTTATCCTAAAGAAGGGTGGAAAGCTAAGACTATATATAGACTACCGAGGACTTAATAAGGTAACTAAGAAGGATTATACGCTACTCCCGCTAATTTATAAGATTTTAGACTATTTATCTTATTTAACGATTTATATAAAGTTAGACCGTAAGGACGCCTATTACCGGCTACGGATCCGAGAAGGCGATAAATAAAAAACCGTATTCCGGACTAAGTACGGTTATTACGAGTATCTAGTAATACCTTTTAGTCTGTATAATACTCCTACCTCCTCTTAATAGTATATTAATAAGTCTCTATAAGGACTTATAGACACTTTTTACGTTATTTACCTAAATAATATCCTAATCTATAGTTTAGATATAGTATCGTATCGGCGATATATACGGAGTATCCTATAACGGTTACGGGAATAGTCCTTATACGCTAATCCAAAGAAATATATCTTTAAGATTTAAAAAGTAGAGTTCCTCGGGTTTATCTATAGCCTTTATAGTATCTTTATAGACCCTAAACGGGTAAAAGCTATCCGAGATTAGGAAAAGCTAGACACGATTAAGAAGATCCAGGTTTTCTTAGGATTCACGGGTTTTTACCGGCGGTTTATTAAAGCTTACTCTAAAATTATAGCACTACTAACTAACCTATTAAAAGACGGGGAAGAGTAAGGGTCTTCGTATTAACCTCTAAGGAGCGGGATACTTTTCGGCTATTATACTAGAAATTTTAAGAGGCGCTTATTCTTCGATATTTTAATCTAATACTATTAATCCGGATTAAGCCGGATATATCGAGTTTCGCCTTAGGCGTAGTTATTAGTTAACTTAACGTAGACCGATAGTGGAGACCTATAATATTCTTCCCTAAGAAGCTATAAGGTCCTAAGTTAAATTACTCTACCCTGGACACTAAGCTTATAGCTATTATAGAAGCTTTTCGATAATAAAAATACTATAGTACCTACGCGTAGACCCCCGTAAAGGTATTAACGGACTACTTAAACCACCGCTACCTTCTTAAAAAACCT